GAGAGAGAGAGAGAGAGAGAGAGAGAGAGAGAGAGAGAGAATGCAGTTATTGAGTAGTCTCCATATGTCTGTTAGATCAAGTTGATTTATTGTGAAGAGGAGGAGGAGGAGGAGGAGGAGAAAGAGGAGGAAGAGGAGGAGGAGGAAGAGGAGAATGTAGAGATGTATTCCTCTACATATTTTCTGTCTTGTTATTTTATCCATCATGGAAACTCGGTATTTAAGTCTCCAACTATTATTGCAGAATTCCTTTCCTCCCTTTGGTTCTGTTTTTCTTCAGAAAGTGTGGTGATCTGTTATTTGGTACAACAATGTTTATAACTATTGTATCAACTTGCTGTACTGAATCTCCTATTAATATATAAGGTCCTTTGTGTCTGTGGCCATCTATTTTTGATTTAACATTTACTTTATCAGATACTAGTTTGATCACCCTGCTCTCTTTGGACAACTAGCTGCATGAAATATATTTTCAAACTTTCATTTTTCTCTATCTGTGTCTGGAGTGCTATGAAACAGTATGGGTACCACATATTTTTAATTGGTTATATATATATATTTTGGGGTCCGGTCATGGGGCCTGAACTCTGGGCCTGAGTGCTGTCCCTCAGCTCTTCAGCTCAAGGCCAGTACTCTACTACTTAAGCCACAACGCCACTTCCGGCTTTTTTCTTTTGCTTATGTGGTGCTGAGGAATCGAACCCAAGGCCTCTTGCTGCAAGGCAAGCACTCTACCACTGAGCCATCTTCCCAGCCCTAATTGGTTATATTTTATAATCCATTCTGGTGATCTTTCAATTTTGACTAAATAGCATTGAGTCCTCAGAAATAAGACAAACCTAAAAAAGACTCAGACAGAATAAGAAATGTTGGTCATCATCAGAAAGGGCGCAGATACCTTTATGTTGGGGTGCAGCCTCATTAACACTTTCTTGCTGTATTCACTGTTGATTCCAAGTGCAAGCTCCACCTCTTTATAAAGCATGATGAAGATCCGCACTCCCTGTTGCTGTTCCAAGAGAAAACAGAGGGGAGGAGGGATAAGCATCTCCAAGGAGCCATGACTTCACCATCTTCTCCTCCTCTGTGTTGGATTCCCTCTCTTCTATAACCTGGCTATTTAATGCAAAAGGCAACACCAAGAGTGACACATGACTATATATTAAGACCCATGAAAATGCAAAAGATAGAAGATTATCTCTCAAGCTAGGAGCTGGTGGCTCATGACTGTCATCCTAACTATTTAGGAGGCTAAGAGCTGAAGATGCAGTTCAAAGCCAGCCTGCCCAGAAAAATATGTAAGACTCTTCAACTAACCACCAAAAAATAAGTTATCTCTCTTCCATTCCTTGTGTGTGTGTGTGTGTGTGTGTGTGCACACGCACACACGTGAGCTGGTAGTAGGGCTTGAACTCAGGCCCCTGATACCTTCACTTGGCTTTTCTCCTCAAGGCCTCACTTGCATATAATTGAGTCACACCTCCACTTTCAGATTTTTGGTGCTTCCTAAGAAATAAGAGTCTTACAAACTTCCCTGCCTGGGATGGGTCTATTTGAACTCAGATCCTGAGATCTCAGCCCCTTGCATAGATAGGATTACAGGCATGAGCCACCAGCACTTGGCCTGCATTTTATCAAATGAATGGCAAACCAAGGCCATGACACCGTGTGCTGCTTTGGGGAACATTCCTAGGGAATATTCCCCAGGATCCAAAGAGGAAAAAAATTATTAAAAAGTAAGAAAGAATATAAAGACTATAACAGCAGGACAGCACTTGACTAGCATGCATGGGATCTTGAGTTTGATCCTCAGTCCTAAAAAATAAAATTAAGCTGGGTGCCAGTGGCTCACACCTATAATTCTAGCTACTCAGGAAGCTGAGATCTGAGGATTGAGGTTCAAAGCCAACCAGGGCAAAAAAGTCCCTGTGGGGGGAAAAAAAAACCCAGAAGTGGCACTGTGACCCAAGTGGTAGAGCACTAGCCTTGAGCTAAAGAGCTGAGGAACAGGGCCCAGGCCCAGAGTTCAAGCCCCATGACTGACCAAAAAAAAAAAAAAAATTGACTTTTGCTTCTGAACTTGTTTCCACTCATCAACACTCTTTTTTGGGGGGACAGGGGGAGGGAGGGTCTGGTCGTGAGGCCTGAACTCTAGGCCTGGGCGCTGTCCCTCAGCTCTTCAGCTCAAGGTGAGCACTCTACTACTTGAGCCACAGCGCCACTTCCGGCTTTTTCTTTTTTGCTTATGTGGTACAGAGGAATCGAACCCAGGGCCTCAGGCATGCAAGGCTAGCGCTCTACCACTGAGCCACCTTCCCAGCCCCTCATCAACACTCTTAGGTTCATTCTCTCTCCCACCCTTCACCTTGCTGCAGCCCTCCCTCCCCTCCTCCCACAGCATCCCTCCATCTGACTCAGCCTCTCCCTCCCTGCATACCCACTTACCACCCTCTAACTATCTGAATGAAGCTTTGCAGGATTGTCCAATTTTGTGAATGGAAACAAATTAGACAATCCATCAAAAGGATAATCACAACGAAACAACCCTTCCCACCCCCCACCGCCCGAAACAGCATTTGAGCGCTATCTAATTTCTTTGATTAGACATGAATATTAATATAACCCATATCTAGTCTATTTAGTTTAATTTAGTCAAGGATCCATTATTTAAACAGAATTCACTAACCATGTAAATGTTGTCACTGGTGAGCCTGCATGGCTGTGATTGTTTACTTTTTCTTACAAAAAGACCACAGTCAGTGTTTGCTCACAATCTACAGGAAATACTTCATGTTCTAACTGTGACCTGCCCTGAAGGAGCGAGGACATCTTTCATTCTGACTGTCCTTCTCCCACAACCATCCCAACAAGCAGACACCCATCTCTGGGTTCCATTTGTCTCCTACACATGTGACCACATAAGGAACAAAATAAAAGTCTCTGTCTTGTTTCCCCATTTATTATTCAATGATGAAGTTTTATTGCCAGTATTGGCCTATAAAATTAACTGGCCATAACTATCTAGCAGAAATTATAGATGGTAATGTAATTCATGTTGTGAATTAGGTAGCCTAAAGTATTTATCCACTCAAAAGTAATAAGAAAAACAGTAGAACCAAACAAACTAGGAAACAGTAATAATCCTGATTGTTGCCAAACTCTAAAGTAAAATGTTGAGACTTCAGAGGCAGCATTCAAAAATTATAGCTTTTGTTAGTAAAACACTTACTGCTTTTCGTTTAAGAATGTAGTCCAGCCTCCAGCGATTTCCTTCAACCACAGGTCGTTTCAGGAAGATTTCTGGACTCAGCCTGAAGTCATAAAACCAAGTAAAAATTGTAAATGTTTTACTGTGTCATCAAAACCAATTACAGTTTCTCAGCAAATGCTATTGGCACCCTCCACTGTAGTAGGTGACCTATATTGTAGATTACTGGAGTTGCCATGGGACAATTTCATGAAGGAAGAAAAAAAAAAACAGAACTTTATCCATATAAAACATTTATTTCAGGCCGGGCGCTGGTGGCTCACGCCTGTAATCCTAGCTACTCAGGAGGCTGAGATCTGAGGATCG